TCTGATGTTTGAGTTCTGTTTTTCTTGGCGAGTCTAGCCAAATGTCAATTTTGTGTATCTTCAAAAACTAGCTTAGTTTCAATGATCTTTTAAATGTCTTTTTAGTCTATTTTATTTCTGCCTGATCTGTTATTTCCTTCCTTCCACAAACTTGGGATTCATTTGTTTTTTTGTGTCTTCGAGGTGTAAAGTTAGGTCGTTTATTTGAGATCTTTGTTTCTTTACATAGGCATTTATCAGTATGAACTTCCCTCTTAGAACTGCTTCTGGTGTCCCATAAGTTTTTGTATGTTGTATTTCCATTTTCACTTAATTTTTGATTTCTCTTTTGTATTCTTCTTTGACCCATCAGTTGTTCAGTAGCATGCTGTTCAATATCCACATATTTGTGAATTTTCCAGTTTTCTTCTTGTAATTTCTAGTTTCATACCACTGTGGTCAGAAACAATGTTCGATATGATTTCAGTCTTCTTAAATTTGTTAAGACTTGTTTTGTGGCCTAACATCATATATCCTGGAAAATGTTTCATGTTAGCTGGAGAAAAATGTGTATCCTGTTGCTTTTGGATGGAATGTTCTGTATATGTTAAGTCCATCTGGTCTAACATGCAGTTTAAGTCCAGTGTTTCCTTTCTGACTTTATGTCTGGATGTGGTATCCATTTATTAAAGTGTATTATTAAAGTCCCCTACTATTGTTATACTGATGTCTACTTCTCCCTTTAGGGCTGTCAATATTTGCTTTATATATTTAGGTGCTCCTATGCTGTGTGTAATTTACGCGTTACATCCTCTTGTTGGATTGACTTATCATTTTATAATTACCTTTTGTCTCTTATTACAGTCTTTGTCTGGGAGCCAGTTTTACCTGATTAACATTTAGTTACCCCAGGCTTTTTCTTGTTTTCCATTTGTGCAGAGTATCATTTTACATCCCTTCACTTTTGAGTGTGTCCTTACAACTGAAGTGAGTCTGTTGCAGGCAGCACATAGATGGGTCTTGTTTTTTGTTTGTTTTTATACCTATTCAGCCATGATATGTATTCTGATTGGAGAACTTAGTCCATTTACATTTTAGGTAATTATTGATAGGTATGTACTTACTGCCATTTTGTTCATTGTCTTCTGGCTGTTTTGTAATTCCTCGTTTTTTTTTTCTTCTCTTGATCTCTTCATATGTGTTGTGATGATCTTCTGTAGTGATATGCCTAGATTCCTTTCTCTATCTTTTGTGTATCTATCTATTACAGGTTTTTGCTTTGTTGTTACCATGAGGTTTAAATTTATGTCTCTTTTAAGATAATAACAATTTAAGTTTGAATGTACTCTTAACTCCAGTCTTTTTAATATCTGGAGAATTTAAAGCAATGTTTCCCTTTTCTTTTTTGGTGTTAATAATTTATTTCTCATTTCGTTCTTGATCAATTTTGTTAGGTGTTTTTATCCTTTTTTATTAGTCTCCCCCCTCCCCCCAGAGAACTAACTTCTGGTGTTACTGACGTTTTTCGTATTACATATCTGCTATTTCATGGGTTTCGTGTTTTATCTTTTATTCTTACAATTCAGTGTTTTTTAGTATATTCTGTTGTGTAACCATCACATCTATTCTAGAACATTCTTATCACCCCAAAAGAAACCCCTATACACTGGCAATCATTTCCCAATTCTGTGCCTCCACTCTGTCCCCATCCTAGGCTCTTGTGACTGCTAATCCCTTTTCTCTCTCTATGGTTTGCCTATTCTGGACATTTCACATAAATGGAATCATAATGTGTGGTCTTTTGCAACAGGCTTCTTTCTCTTAGCCTGTGTTCCAAGTTCATCCGTGTGGTTGCACATATCAGTAATTCTTAATTTTCAAATAATTTTTCATTGTATGTATATAGTACATTTATTTATCCACCCATTGGTTAATGGACATTTAGGTCATTTCCATTTTTGGCTAGGACGAATAACACCACTATAAAGAAAAAATGTTGTGTGTATATATGGCTTGTAGTTGTGTGTTTAAATGTTTAAGAAAAAGAAAAAATGTGTGTATATGTTTTAAAGAAAAAATGTTGTGTGTATATATGTTTTGCTTCTCTTGGGTGTATACCTAGGAGTGGAAATGCTGGGTCATATGCTCACCCTTGATTTAACTTTCTGAAGAACTGCACTACTGTTTTTCTAAAGTGACTTCACTATTTTATATCCCCACCAACAATTTAAGATTTCCATTTCCTCCACATCTTTGCCAACACTCGTTATTATCTAGCTTTCTGATTTTAGACATCCTAGGGTAGGTGAAGTGGTATCTCATGGTTTTTAGTTTAATTTCCCTAATGACTAATTTTGTTAAGCATGTTTTCGTGTGTTTACTGGCCATTTGTGTATCATCTTTGGAGATATCTCTCTTCAAATCATTTGCCCATTTAAAAATATTTTTAATTTTATAAGATTTCTTTATATATTCTGGATACAAATTCCTTATGAGGTATGGTTTTCAAGTATTTTCTCCCATTCTGTGGGCTGTCATCTCACCTTCTTGATGGTGTCCTTTGATACACAAAGGTTTTAATTTTGATGAAGTTCAATTTATCTTTGCTGCTGCTGTTGTTTTTGGTACTCTAAGAAACCACCGTCTAACCCATTAGATGGATTTGATGATGAGGATTGTTTTTTCTTTTATAGTTTTAGCTCTTACAATTAGATCTCTGATCATTTTAAGTTAACTTTTACAGATGGTGTGTAAAGTCCAAATTTGTTTTGCATGTCAGTATCTCTTTTTATCTCATTATTTACTTTACTTTCAGTTTTTTTTTGAGATGAAAGCTTATTTTTCTAATTTCCAAACTTTCTATTTTTCTACCATATTTACTTAAAGTTATACATTTCCCTCTAAGCACTGCTTTATTTACATTCCACAATTTTTACTATGTACTATTTTCATTATCATTCAGTAAAAAATATGTTCTAATTCCCAGTGCAATTCCACTTTGACCCTTGGGTTATTCAGAAGTGTGCTGCTTAACTTCCAGACTTTTGGGGATTTTCTAAGTTTGTTTTATGGTCCAGCATATAGTCTGTTTTGGTAAGTGTCCCACTTGGACGTGAAAAGAAAATGTATCTGCAGTTTGTTTGATGTCGTGTTTGACAGCTGTCAGTCAGATCAAGCTAAGGTCCCAGTCATGCCAGTCATATGAGTTAAGAAACCTACAGTTTCCCAGCTGGGCCTCCAGATTGAGAGGCAGATAAGCCATGCCCACTGTATTCTGTTCAAACTCCTGAGCCACAGGCTTTGTAAAATGATTATGTTGTGGAATTCTGGGATGGTTTGTTATGAAGCAACTGTAAGGAGAAATGACTACACTGTAGGCTCAATGTTTGAGAAGAATCTATGCTTTTTCATAATCCTTATGGAATTTAGGACCAGAGTTAGAGACTAATTCTAGTATAATGTGTTTTACAGCCATTTGGTAATAGGCAAGATGTACCAAAAATACACTTTACAGCTGTAACTGTAGTAGCTAGTATCACACTCCTGAACACAGTGCTACCAAAAGTTGTTATATATAAAATTTTGTGCTACTTTTTTCCTATGCTAAAATCTAATCATTGTAATTGTTAATGTCTATAAAAATATAAATAAAACCCCCAAGAGACTTAGAGAGGAAATACATATTCAACTATACCGTTGAAGGTAAAAGTTCAGTTCTAAAATTCCTAAGAGGATATCTTGTTGGCTTCTCAAGTGAAGGAAAGAAAGTATTTTCTGGCTATTCACATCTCAAATTGCTGGGCAACAAACCTGTCAACATAGAGTAAATCTCTCTCAGTGAACAGGATGGGGCTTCTGCAACTTTGTCCTCTGAGTTACAGAAGTCCTAGGTAAGCATAAGGTTTGGTGTCCCTGTCGAGGGGTCGTGTGCATCCGGCAGGTGTCTGTTCTATGCTGTGCTCTCAGGGTTACTGGGCAGAATCATTTAAAAGTATTTATTTTGAGCCATGAATGTGAAAAATCAAGGATATAGTTGAAGAAAAAAAAGTGTTTATTTAGGCCATCCACTAGGATCATAATAAATAATGCAATATACTAATGTAATAACAGATGTTCTCATGCATTTATCACATTTAAAATATACAAGAAAGCTGGCTTATGGGGCTGTTAGGACAAATTTGGAGAAGTGTATTTGGCAATACAGTGAAAGCTGACAGTCTTAAGACTATCAGATTCTCTTTCCTCTATATGTCTGTGAATAAATGGTAATGTTCCCTTATAGCTTCTACTTTTTATAAACATGCCAGAGCTAAGCCAATTGTCAAAGGTCCAGGTTGACAATTTGTTATTTATCAATCAATGTTTCTAATGGAAACCAGATTTTAGAAAATAACAAAGATAAACTCTTTTGCATTTCAGTGTGGAGGCTGATATATTGCATGCCAGAATCATTTAAACAATAAACTGTGCCTGAATGAAATAAAACCCCAAAGTAGAAGTTTATAAATAGTACCTTTGATGCTCAATATAAAAATGTTATACTATGAGGCTTGATAAATGTTACCTGGCTGCAACAGTGACAAACTCTGATTACAGCTTAGCTTTGCTAGTAAATGTCACATAAAGAGTTTAAACAGGGTGACCTTTAACTTAAAGCTTTAAAACAAATAATTTAAACATATCTTAAACACTGAAAATGTGTTTTCAATTGTTATTTACAGTTAATCAATGATACCAGTGTATAGCTTAATTGAGCCAATCGCCAGTCTTTCATCCCTCTTTCAACATCTGCTATTACAATCTTCCTTATAAATACTTCGGCAAATCAGTTTAGTGAAGGAGACCGATCTGTGGTCCAGAGTAATTCAATGTATGGCCATTTGGTTTGGAGACAGCGTTTAATAGGAGTGTCATCTGTCTGTAGCATGGGATCTTCAAAACCCATAACAACTGCGGTTCCTTCCACATACATTACCTGTTGAACAAAATAAAGCCACAAGGTCAATCAATCAATATCCTTAGCGAAGTCTTGTGAGGGATCCAGAGCTTTTCATAGGCTGGCAAACAGGGCACTGTGTACTGTTTCATATGGAACTTTATATCTAGTTTTATTCTGATAGAAATTATAAGCTAGAATATCTGCTTCCTGATTAATGTGAAAATAAATCTGGAAATGAGATGGTGAAACAATTTTAACTACTAGCTGAATTTAGATTGTAAGATCATGATTTATAAGAAGTGTATGCAAATCCCAAGAACATACTATTTCTGATAAAAGAAAAATCATGCTTCCAGTAATAGATTTTCTTTATATAACATTTACTTAGTTCCTATTGCTTTAATATGGAGGCACTCAGCTATATATTCTGAGAAGGACTTATTTTCTTCTGTCAATCTAAATGTTGAATTTCCAGAGCTGCAAGCAAACTGGATGTTTGTCAATGAAATTTTCTATTATTGTACTAAATACTTCTGAAATACTATTCATGAATATACTTTGTTCTGCATGAAAAATCATGGAGAAAAAAAATTAAAGGACGTCAGGTCAGAAACAAAAATCTCTATATGTAATGGCAATGACTATTAAAAAGATACACTGGCAGGTGGATAGATACCAGAAAAGTTTAATTCTGATTTCTTTAAACAACTTTTAGAAGTCATTTGTGAAGTAACATACTAGCTAAAGCCCTACCTCATTTTAAGCGCCCACCGTATACATTAAAGCATTCAGTCATGAATTTCGCTTTGTACCAAGAGAAATTCTAACTGCATAATTTAAAAGGAACAGATACAGACGACTACCCTCTTCCAAAGTATGTGTAATGATTTTTACACTCAGTGGCTGATACACATGATTGTAATTACGTTCTTCCAAGATAAAAGCTATAAACTATTTGACCAAGGAGCCAAGAGAAACAACAACCTGATTAGCCTTAAGTTGGAGTCTCCTTAAAATACATTAAATATGGGAATATTTTCTATTACTAGGCCAGATAATTTGGTTTCATAAATCTCTTTTTAGGAGGCTCTAAAGACATACTTTAATGTGAAACAAATACTTTTACTTTTTTGCATCTGTACTTTGGTTGCTGTAGTACTTTCTAGTTTTGATGGAATAAATTTACTATTAGAACTGTGAAGTCATGCTTTTCAGCTCTCCAAAGCAAAACTTTTCTCTGAAAATCCCTTGCTCATGGTGTTAGAGCAGACCTGCTTGGGTGGAGTACCCCGACCTACCTGTGTGGCCTCCCTGGCCTGTGCCCCCTGGTGGGCCACATTCCCTTCTGCTTGGCCAGCCTTCTGTTGTCTGTTTCCTCAGCTATTTTTAGTAGTACCTTACTCTGAGGTCTACCAGATTTCTAGCTCCTGAGTAACTTTATGGTATACCTCTGCAACTTAATGGCATACATGCTTTGCGTTAAGAGTGCTTACATACTACTGTCATGTTAATAGTTCATCTTTGATTTCTGACCTCTTTGTTAGTATGTCAGACGCTTGTCATGAGCACAACTTGAAAACTTACTATATACAGGTAGCGTGGTCAAGCAGACCAAGGACACGATTGGGAATCAGGAACTCAGTTCCAATCCCTGCTCTGCCAATGACTTGCTGTGTGACCCTGGCTGAGTCACTTAATCTCCCTGTCTCAGAGGCCTCATCTGTAAAATATGGATAATATGTGACTGACCTACCTTGCAGGGATTGTATAGGCAAGGAACTAAGTAGTGACTGTAAAGTACCTTCTATGACAAGGCTACATAAAACTTCAAACTCTAGAGGAAGCACTCATTCACACGTATTAGAACAGAGCATACACGTTGGCTTACTGACAATTTATATTTTTCTATAGATATCAGTAAATCATTTTACTATGAAAAAGATCTTCAAACCTAATGTAATAAAAGTTCTAATTTATATTGTTATGAAAATAAATTTTAGTCACAGGTTTAGATTTGCTCTAACTGAAATTATGCATCTAATATACATTATGATCTATTTTCTCTAGCCATCCTCATTTAGATACATCTGAAACCAGCATGCGTATTTCAAATTAAAAAGGCATGTTAGCCACCAAATGTAAAATAGCTAGTGGGAAGCAGCCGCACAGGGAGATCAGCTCGGTGCTTTGTGACCACCTAGAGGGGTGGGATAGCGAGGGTGGGAGGGAGACACAAGAGGGAGGAGATATGGGGATATATGTATGTGTATGTGTATAGCTGATCACTTTGTTATACAGCAGAAACTGACACACCATTGTAGAGCAACTATACTCTAGTACAGAGGGTAATCGTTTAAGGTATTAAAAACGGAACCACTTGCTTCAGGACAATGGGGCCAGTTGCTGGCACTGGAAGAAGACACCCCCTGCCACAGTATTTCAAGACACCGGAGGCCATTCGTGAGGGCATTCATGAGGGCAGTAAACAGCGGTTCAGCACCAACTGTCTCTATGGCACCTTCCAACTCAAAAGCCAGTGGGAGCTCCCCACTGTGAGGGGTGAGTCTGTTGACGCTGCCGGGAATCGCCCTGCTCTCTGAAACACAGCGTGCTCAATTATCACCCTTTCTGTCATCATTTGTTCAAGTCTTCCTTTACTCCCTTAGTACAGTTTTATAGTTTATTATTTTATTTGTATAAATACTTGGTTTTTTGGTTTGGTTTCTGCTTTCTGAGATTTAAAAGTTATAGTAAAATAAAGGAATAACTTCTGTATTCCCACACACACACAAAAAAGGCACGTTAGGCTTTACACCTTCTAATATTAGCTATAGCTACTGTGACCGTTACTGGCATAAATGCAAACATAGGAGCTACATCTTAGGTGTAGGCAAAGCTCATTAATCAAAGAGGGTGAATGGGCGAGACCAAAGTTTTGATTTAAAGCCGGTGCGTATATCTGGACGTGAAGCACTGATGTGCCTTTGCCCGTGGAGCAAAGCACAGCGGGTGAGCCGCGGGCTCTAAGGGGGACGCCCTCGGCTCCCGTCGCAGCTCCGCCGTTTCCCGGCTGCCTGACGGCGGCAAGCTGCTTACCTCTCCCATGCGGCAGTTTCCTCCACTGTAAAAGGGGGATATACAGGCAATACTTACTTCATGGGATGGTGTTAAACTTCAGATAAAACGAAGTGCTTAAGCCAATTCCAGGTAAATGCTCAATAAATGCTAGGTGTTATGGATGTTAATTGAAATCCTTTAAAATATTTTTCGAAATCAAAAATCTCACTCTCACCCCTTCCTTCTCCATTTAAACAGATCAGTAACTTTCAGCACACTAAACTTGATTTAGTAAAATATCTACAACACCCAGGGGTAACAACACGTATGTAGATGGAGTTACCTTGTCCCAGTGACACTACTGCTCCAACATTCCAATGAAGATCTCACTGAGTCCAGGTCTAAAATATGCTCTGATAGTGAAGAGACTCCTAGAATAATCTCCTTCCTGAGGTGGCAAGTTTATGGGAATCAAACACTGTTATATACGCCTATATTTTATCAAGCCAGGTGAAGACAAATTACAACGTGAGTTATCTTACCTTTTCATTGTAATTTGATTGCTTCAGTCCATTGTAGTGGTAGACAGTAAAAGACTCTGGACCACTGGAACCCTGTTATAAACAAAGAACAATTAAAACTTTAAATCTCTATATCAGGCAATTTCTAATTAGCAATTGAAATTAAAATGGAAGTTTCTTAATTCCACATCCTTTGATTATGGAATCATCTGACAAAGCAAGACACTTAGACTTATGCAGTTAACTACCATAAAATCTAAACGCTGAAATTTGCTTCTGGGGAAGAGACTGGAAATTGGGGGAGTGCTGATTTTTATTATAAGCTCTTCTACAGTTTATATTTTTAAATAAATGCATGTATTACTGTAATTTTTTTTTTTTTTTTTGTGGTACTGTAATTTTTTTTAAAAAAGGACACAGTTTTAAAATGCAAAAAAATTTCCTAAAATGTATCTCTGCTTTTTTTCTGCTTATAATTTGTTCCTCTCAATAAATACAGAAAGGCAGTGATACCACTTTCGCTCAGATTCCAAACATATGCACCAATACTTCCAATTCGGTCCATAGTACCAAATTGGGGGTTTCCATCCCCACAGATATCTTCTGAATATTGTGAACCTTAACTGTGAAAAGGAAACATAGTGCTGAGAGATTTAAACAACATTCAATAGAGAAAGGAAACTGAATAAATCATTATACTAACTTCCAGAGAAAGTGATCATGTCATTCCCACTGTTCTTTGGTTCTCAGTTCGCTAAAGCTCAAGTTCACCTCCCTAAACGTAGCCTTGAAGGCCGTTAACGGTCGGGCCCCTGCAGGTGCCTGACTCCCAGTGATTCCCTTTAGTGCCTACGGCTGAGTGCCCCGTGCCCATGCCCCTTAAGGATCTTCCTGGTCATATCTGATTGTGACAAAAGTTGGTCCAGTGTCCCTCCTTGGAATTTTTTCCAGTTGGAAGCAAGAGAAGGAGCTCCTTTCCAACGAGGAGGGATGAGGTGGGGATGAGACTCCTTCCAGCCCCAGAGGCTCCCGGCACCACCTTCCAGGCGCTGCTTCCTCTGTCCTCCCGTTGCTCTGAGCTACTCCTCCCAATTCCTATCTTTCTGGCCCACGTCAGGCAGTTCAGGCTGGGATTTGCAACCAAGAAGCCTAAACTACAGGACCTAACCGACCCTTCCAGTCTTATCTCCAACCACTCACCTTCCTGAATTCTGTTTGAGACAAGCATATTCTTCATCTTCCCATGAAGAGACCTTTGGTTGTTGGCTCTTTGCAAGTCTTTTCTCATTTTTCAAGATCTGGTTCAAATCTTACTTTGTAAAGTTTGCCTTGAATACACTATTTGGGTTCCCTATTACTTTGGGATCTTTCTAACAATCGTCTCAATTTATGAATCATATACTACTTTGCATTATCTCTTCAGCTGTTATTTTGAAAGACTGTTTACATTTTTAACTGTTTTCAACTTTTCATGTCTAAAATCTAAGCTCTCATAATTTTTTGTATCCCCTTCAAATGCTTTACAAAACAGAAAACTCTAGAATTTATTCAATCATCTTAATTGTATACATGAGTCAGTGCAGTTAGTTGCTTAGATAATTTGGCTGTTGATTTTCAGAGTTAGTTAATATACTTTAACCTACAAAATAAATATTTTACTACAATTGAATACAATTTACATATCTCCAGTTCTAGTAACTAACAACTGATATAAAATAAATAGCAACGAAAGGTAGTGTAAAACAGTGGTTAAAGTACTTTGGCTCTTTGCCTGGATAACCTACACTGGATCCTGAATTGGCCTCATGCTAGCAGTATGACGTTAAACCATTTTCTTAAGTTCTCTAATCCTCTGTTTCCTCATTGACAAAAATGGGGGGGAAAATAATACCTAATTTGTAGGGCACACGGTGCCTGGGTGCATAGTACATGCTCAATAAATGGTAGCTGCGCCTGCTAGTCTTCCCGTAAACCATGCTGGTATCTGATGAAATGATCACAATACACCTGGCTAAATAATTTGGGTGGGTGGTAAAACCCTGCACTCAGATAGGAAGACAAGCCAGGTGTAGGCTGTAGAATTAGCCAATGACACAGACATAACCTGAGCATACTGAGACGGGTATAGATAGATCCTTCTAACTCAGCTCCTTCACAGCCAGGGGAAGGCATGTCCCAGCGTGAAGCAGCACAGCTCCACTCCAGTAAAAGGCTTTCCTTTTACTCAACTAAAATTCTCCTCGAACTTAGAGCACTGGTAGCAGTTCGCACTACATGCAGGCTCCTTTACCTTCTTTGCTAGTATTTAGAAAGTTCTAAAAAGATACATACCAATCAATTAACAACAGTCACCCGAGAGAAGGAAAACAGGGGTGGGAGTGGGTTAAGAGAATCTTTCTCTTTTTACTCCACAAACTTCTGAATTTGAATCTTCCTTTAGAAAAACAATATCAATGTGTCTATATTGGTGTATATACTCTCTTCCACCAACCCTGTCCCCCAAAGTTTTGTGTTGCTGTATTGGAACACACAACTCGTCTAACCTCTCTGTTGGGAAAGTATTTACATGATAATAGTGCTTTATTAGTCTAATATCTGCATGTGAGAACATTTTTAACTAGTAGAAAAAAATGCTGAAACAATCATAATATGATCCTCCCAACAGAACAAAACAATAAATATATTTCTTCAGCTATGTTACCTGATCAGGAAAAAATTCTTGAAGAAATGGACCCAATAATATGATTCCTAATCCTTCTGGATCTAATTTATTCTTCATGAGATTTATACTATGGGGAGAGAAAAAAGAAAAACAGTGGATACCAATGGGAAAAAAGCTTATTTTTCTTCTTCCATGATTAAATTACTATAACACATCTGACTGCCAAAAATCCTGACAGCTGTTCTTTTTAAACCCTTAATGACAAATACACAGGATGACATCTAATTTGCCAAAACTTGGTTATTTTTAAACCAGAGTAATCTGTTACTATTTAGAATTTAAATTATGATGATGACTTTGGAATATTGTTCCTTATTAGGTAAAGTAACTTAAAAACCCAGGCTTGTGAAAACAGGCTTTTAACCTCCCAGAGGCACAGTCTCTTTGCTTCATGGCTATGCCTGAATTTAACTATCAAAAGAGGCATTTAACTTAAAATAAACTTTTTTTTCTTTTTAAGCCCAAAGAGAAAAAGAAACAGCATCAAAAGCAGTGGTACATCAGATAAACAGAAACATCTCTGAAAAAGCTTACTTTCAAGAACCAAATGAGGTGGAGGCTTAAAATTCTTACAGTGTAAACTGAAGGTTAAAAAAGGTAAGATAATTCTCAAAGAGCTGAAGTATAGGTGTAACGATCAGGTGTAGCCGAGGCTGCTGACAGGTATTATGTGTGACTAGAAAGAAGGCGGAGCAAAGTGGACTGCAGTTTGAAGAGAGTTTTAAAAATGAAAATGGTCTTTGCAGAAAATTTTCATTCTCCATGTTATCTTTCAAACTATAAATGTCAGGTTAAATACAACTTATTATACAGTTGACCCTTGAATAACATGGGTTTAAACTGCACAGGTCCACGTATATGTGGATTTGTTTTTCAATAAATACATACATGTACCATAAATAAATTCTCTTCCTTATGATTTTCCTAGTAACATTTTCTTTTCTTTAGCTTACTTTAAGAATACAGTAATATAATATATATAACATACAAAATATGTGTTAATAGACTGTTTATGTTACTGGTAAGGTTTCCAGTTAACAGTAGGCTATTAGTAGTTAAGTTTTGGGGGAGTCAAAAGTTACACACGGATTTTCATCTGTGCGGGGGTCAGTGCCCCTAACCCCTGTGTTGTTCAAGGGTCAACTGTACAACATGCAAAGGATATGACACTTTAATGGGTCTGAGTAATGCCAGGAGGTTATGACATGAAACAGAGAAAGGCAAGGTCATATTATATTTAATATAATTTACTAGTCCTTGATAATAAGGCCCTGTTAATGGGCCATCACATATTATAAACGTGACTAGACCAAAGGACCGAATAAATAACTCAGTGCAATCTTTCAGCTACTTCTAGAAAAACAATTTGACTCTACTGTGCTAACTTTAAAATTCAGGGTATGTTATGTATTCTGATGAAACAAGGAAAATTAAGTAGCTGACGTATAGGCATCTACGTAAGAATCTGAAACAAAAAACCAATTTTGCCTTTTTCCTCCTTCCCATCTTAAGAATTGTTAGTAACCAAAATTACCTCCGTTCAATTCCCTTTTGCATATTAGAGCAATGTAAACAAGGTTTCCACTTGGAAATCAGTTAAGAAGTACGGTAGTTACTATTATCTCATTTATTGGACTAGTTCAACTGTCTCTGAATTTCTCCTCTTTAAGTTGGAATCAACAATTATGTCTAAGTTACCCTTACTAAGTAAGGGTAACATCACAGCGCTAGGTACTGACATTGAGACATATTAATTCAGATGTGATTAGTCTGCAAATGTTTATATGTATTTCATACTTTTGAAGAAAATACACCCTAACTATTTAAAAACAGAACAGGATCAAGTTCTAAAAACTGTGTACCAATATGTTTTATGCTGCTTTTGCTGAATCCTTTCCTTAAATGTTTGTAAGCTAAAGTTTGTTCACTGTCAGATACATTTTCAGAAGGGGGAAAAAACAAAAGACAACTGTGCAGAAAAAGGAAAACATAGTGTAGATCAAATGTGATTTTTAAATCACCTATATTTGATTAATATATATTTGATTACCATATTTGATCAAAAGATCTATCCACTTTACCAGAGAGAGCTTTTCCCATGGATAATAAAGATCCCAAATTTATGGAAGAAGTTATAGATGTAATAATGTACATTATTAACGAAGACAACGACTGATATTAATGTTAGGCAATACTGAAAATTATATTCTGTAACATACTGGGGCCACTTGCAAAGGTTTCAGATCATTTAGAATGTTCAGGGTCTTTAAGACTGAATGTCAAAGGCCTGCTGGTTATTTAAGCGGGACGACTAGCAATACAGACATTCTACATACCTGTCACTACTTTTGCTGAAGGTGCTAAAGACATGCACAAAATTTCAAAATATGGAAGAAGTTTCACAGTGAGAAAAATAAGGAAAAAGGCATTTACATTTTTAGGACCCTTTTGAAAAAACTAGACCATAAGTGCAGAGTGGAAAAGGAAGCTCACTTTAAGTAAGTCAAGTCTCTGCTATAATACTGATTGGTCTGACTGCTTCCTAAATCGTTGCTTAATATCAAGTGCTATGCTTCATATATGCATAAACGCTTAGATTTTTTTAAAAAAGGCAATAATGTGTGTATAATGTTTTACATTTAACAGAACCAAGAGTTGGTTAAGTAATACTTCGTATGTAGCTTACTATTCAGGATCTGAAACAAGGTCCAATGCTTTCATCACATCTTCTAGGAGTGAATCAGGTATGAATCCATTATCTGGAAAAGAATTACAGAAGCAATTTGGATCAAGTTTACTTCAAGAAATGCTATTATTGCTGCTCAGCCAGATGCCAGTGAAGAATCACATAAGAGGGATACAAAGAATCAAGAAACAGCATATTAAGTTTATTTGGGGCACAATATTATTATTAGGTACTCTCTTAGTTTTCTTGGGCACATAGGTAAAGATTTATTTTCAAGGTTAGTTTTCTAATACAAAAATGAACCACATGACTTCTCCCTGAGAACTCCAAGGAAACCTGAAAGCCAAATTACTTCTTAAACAGGCTTACAAAGTTAAATGAGACAAGTTTTTTCCTACTTAAGTTTTTAGCAGTTATCCAATTAAAATAAATCTTTACCAGTAAATTCTTTTTGTCGCCATGTTATTTTAGCTTCTTGCAAGAATGCTCATGAACCACTGTTATTTAGATCTCTGACAATATACGATCAAGAAAAGATATCTCTTGACTTAAATCAAAGATCTCTGACAATATACGATCAAGAAAAGATATCTCTTGACTTAAATCAACAGACCTGATTTAAATAAAAGCCATAGATTTAATAGCGAAAAAAATTCAAAGTTGGAACGCAGAGTAGAATCAAATGTTGATGCAGAGTAGTTTATGGAAAATGTTCCTTTTCTTGGGCTCGATGAGGAAATAGCATTGGTAAATGGCCCAAACTCAGATGATGCAATAGGACGTGATACACACAAAAAGCTTGTAGGGCAGTTTGAAACCACAGTACTTATAAACAAGCAACTTGATTCCCTTAAATGTACAATTCCCTTAAATGTACAATTCCCCTACCCATTTATTCTTTCCTGAAGACTGTCTCAGCTTTAAATCAGCTTCCAACACAATAACCTTTTCAGGGATTAGGATAATTAAGGAAAAAAAACAAAAACAACCTTGTCCTGGAGGACAAGATGCCCAAAAGCCCTGCTTCTATAATTAAACTATAGAATACAGTGGAGTTACTCTTTCTGCACATAGTGGTACTCTATCAGCAAGGAAATAAAGAAGTTAAGATTTTTTTAAGTCTTTTCTTAAACCTCATAAGCACATGCTTGCCCATGTGAAGACAGATTGGCTTTGACTAAAAGGCTAAGAATCATTTAGGATAATTAAAAATTATCCTAAATATAATTTTAGAAAGTGAACATTTAGAATAATTCCAGTTTGTCAGGTTACCAATAACTGAAGGTATAGAGAATAAAAAACTTGTTTGAAGGCACCTGTGAAAAGCATTCAAGCTTTTAAGCCTCAGCTGATGAGTCTGAAAGGCAGAAAATTACTCCTTTTGCTTAGTTAGGTCACAGCTAAAAGCTTAGCATTTCCGAATGTAAAACAGGCTTTATGTGGCTACTGGCGGCCAGCAACAGTTATCCGGATAGGTTTCCATGTTTATGGGCTGTCATGTATATCCACTTGACAGAAGCAGTGTGTATTACAATATTCTTCTGAAGCATTGAATGGCAGGCAGCCTTATCTCTTCTTACTGTAACCCGAGACTCAGCTCCCATCCCCAGAAAGGGCTAATGGGCTGTATACGGACACAAACAACTAGGAAAACAACACAATGACCTCCTTAACTCAAACGTGATTAACCTCAAGCTTAAACATTCCAACACATTTTTAAGGGGCCTAAGAGATTTACAACGTGTAAACTCGGCCATTCTGGAGTACAGCAGTGACTACACCAAGCCAGTGACGCTAGTTTTTGTACATACAGTATTTTATAACTGGAGACTGCAGAACCATTTTTTTCAATACCTCAAAGACGTTTAATACACCCAAGATTAGAAGAGGAGATTTGGAATTACTTTTTAAAACACTAATTTTGAAATTACTTTAATAATCATACCTGTCAAGACAAATTCTTTAGAAAAAGCAGCCTTAAGTCTAAGCAGATCGAAACTCACTCCATCTAGTATTTAGTCAGCTGGTTCCTCAGAGAATATGGAAACAGAGACACAATGATAAGCCCTCAATACCAACAGCAGAGGAAATCTGAGCGTACAATTGGTTGATTGCTCAAGCCGACCTAAGAAGCACCAAAGGAAAAAGCAGAACTTAAATGCATCGGTAATTTAACCACATGAATATAAAATGGCCTTGTACAGGCTTTCAAGCTCAGAAGAACGGGGAGGATGGGCGGGGAGGGCAAGGGGGCAGTGCCCGCGGTTGTGACGGTACGCAGCTACAGTGCCAACATTCACATACAGTTAAATTGTGTTTAAGACATTTGAAAAGGAGGAAAAAAGCTGTTCGTTTATAAATTTAAAAAAGAGGGGTTTTTTTGTTTCTTTAAAACCCAGTAAACAGACGGCAAGAAGCGCCCAGCTCCTAGAGCTCGGGAAGAGGAACTCTGCGCAGAGCAGCGCTGGGTAGGGGCACAACAGTGAAGTGAGTTAGCAATTTGCTGGGTAGGAGGACCAGTTCAGAATGGTGAAGAAGTCGAGCTGGCCTCGAAGGAGAAGGAAGGACCCATCCTGATTCCCATTTGGAAAGACGGTGGGGAGCTTGGCAGGCCTCCTAGCAGAGGCACCAGCTGAAGGGAGAGCTGCAGGAGAGAGCAGGTGTCAGGAAGCCACAGCGGGACGAGAAACAGCGTGAGAGGAGATGGGGACCCAGCACTGGGGACCGTTAATGTTTTCAAACCCCTGTAGGTGAGAAAGAGTACAGTTTCTTAGGAACAGAGGAGACAATCAAGATCAAGTTGAGAATTTAAGTGCTGTTGTTTTTAGTAAAAAATTAACAAATTATTTTATTTTTACTCAATGTTGTATCATACTTTACCTAGCTATTATTATTGACGCTTTAATAACATATCCCTACAATTTAATAGAACTCTTAGTGAAAAAAAGTATGTGGCTTTTGCCCAGAGGCAAGGTTAGGGCATTTTCGTAGTCGCGCTAGCCCTGGTCTCCTGGCTTGTGTCTCCCTGCTGCTTCGCGCCTCTGGCCCTGTAAACAGAGGCCATGGACAGCAGGGATGCCATGACCAGGGGGCCGAGCGCGGTGCTTAACACAAGTAGCTGCTCAATAACATTTGTTACATTCAATTATTCAAGCTAATCCTAACTTCAGATTTAAACAAACTGCTCTGTTCAGGCACCATGGTTCAACCAAAAACAGCTCTGTGAATTGTACCTAGGAAGTTTACCAAGAAATGAGTAGCTGCTTTACGGCCTGTCCTGCAGAACCACTTCAATTATGTGATGGGAAAGTTGCAAACCAAACTAAACAAGGTGCACAGGATAAAGAAAAAACTATGGCTGGGGCAGCAGGAAACAGTGATGAGAATGGTACAGCAAGGTGAATGGAAGTGACGGAAGGGATGCAAAGGTAGAGAGAAGACAACGTGATTTAAAAGGAAGAGAAAAGACAGAATTAAACAAAAGGCAACTTCTAGATAATGTCTAAGGATGGGTGAATACTAAACTATCTACAACAAGTAAAATTATTCTTAAAGATGAAAAAAATGTACCACACTGAAATCATTCAGACAAAAGATGCTATCAATATATTTTAGCAACCTACAAAGAATACAAGGGCTCTTTAAAATTAACATATATATCCCTTGTCCAAACAGGGTTGATGAAGTCTACAACGGGGCGGGGTGAAGAAAGAATAAGAGGGAGAGAGAGAGAAGAAAACAAAACAAACCCCATTACGGGTGATGCTAAAAATTTCAAATACCATCTGCGTAGAATTCAGTTCTTTGGAGATTACTGAATAAGCTCTATGCTACACAGTTTTGGATTTTTTTTCTTTTTTAAACAACAGTATGGTCAACTTATTGAGTACCTGAATAATGATGTAAAGTAGATACAAAGGCCATCTTACAGCTGAGGAAACTGAGGTTAAGGAACTTGCCCAACACCACACAGCCGAGTTTACAGAGGTGGGATTTAAATCCAGGTTGTCTGATACCCACTGGAATGCTTTTAGCATTTTAGAAAGCCATTTTCTGATACCTGGAGGCATTCCAAAATTCCTCTCTTGTCCAGTATCTTTGATCACATTGATCAATTTACCTCTGTCCCTACTCTTTTGTTTTTAAAAATTACTATAAAATGTGTATCTGAATACAAACCAAATATCCAAACTTTCCCCCACAAAAGAGGTGTAAAAACCAAAATGAAACGAAACAAAACGTAAAAACGCCACCCCCCACCCCAAATCCCCAGGAAACAAAACTATGGACTTTCTCTAAAGCCCATATGTAACACTTTATATAGGACCAGTACCTGATTCTCTTTAGGATCTGAGCACACACACTAGTGTTCATTTCCATTTCTGAATTTGGGATTCTTCATTAAAGGGACCATGTAATTAGAGATGGTATGTCAAGGTCCTGCTTGAAATTAAAATTCTGGAAGTATTACAAAGGAGAAACTAACAGCTAAAAATACATTTTTGAACTTATTTTATATGTACGCTTGGCGTCAAAATAATGATTGAGCTCCTTAGATCCTAAAGACTCTGAAGTAGAGACTAACTGCTCAGTGGGAATGACAGTCAATATCATATCCTTATTCCAATAAATTAAAAATAGTTAAAAGTAGACAAAGAGGTTAAAACACAGCTCTTTATGACCTCAGCCTTTTAAAAAGGTACTGGTAGTGGAGAGAGGGGGAAAGATTGCTTGACCTTCTGGAAGAACACCTCGAATCTGGTCTCAGTTCTCACAACTAGGCATGCAGCTCTGAAGAAGTGAACTAAACCCTCCTCACAAGGTTGGTTTTTCTTAAGAACAAAATGGTACTGGTCATCCCTGCTTATCTCCTAGATTTATGGTAAGGTTTTAATGAGACCACGCAGGTAAACTGCTTTATAAGCTGTGATGTTTCATGCAAAGGCCAGCCATCATGATTATTACTATTTTTAGACAGGTCCTCAGTTACTGATGGTCTTTTGAAACCTAAACCTGATTTATAAGTCACCTGTTTAGAACACTGAACATACAGTCTCACGGAGGCAATGCTGT